CTCTGGGATTAATAAAGTATTTTTGAACTGAATTGAATAGAATGCAAAATAAACCGGAACCGGTTAAGAGATGAATCGTTCTGTGTGGCGGACAGACGGGATCGTTTTCTAAATCAAAAAGAAAAAAGTTTTGTTTTGGACCGAGAACATCTGGACGTGTTTAACAGGAAACGTTACAGTTTTTACTTCCAGGTATTTAAGAATGACATTAAACCAAAGGCTGCTGTTATTGTAAAACAACATATTTTTCTGGTGAATAAATGACGTCAGGTGAGTAAATGGCTTGTATTTATATAGCGCCTTCTAGGGTTCTAGACCCCCCAGGGCGCTTTACAGCACAAACGTAGGAATGTAGGAATGGATGTGACTGATGGGTGAGTCAGTAAAGTGCCTTGGGGGGTTTCAGGACTCTAGAAGGTGCTGTATCAAATACAGGTCATTTACCATTCATCCAAAACTACTCAAACGTATCTAGGATGGTAAAAAGTAGTGGCCCAGGGGCCTGATCTGGCCCATGACCTGCATCATTTGGGCCTACTGGAGTCTGTCCTTCCTCGGGCTGATGAATCTATTGTTTTCTGACTGAAACTGTGATTTCACACAAGGCTGACCCAGGATCTGCTGAGTCAGCTATTTTACCATCCAGTTTTTGAAGTGTCATGGTGAAAATTGTTTTGAATTAAATCAGGAATCAAACAGAAATTTTTATTTCCGTCAGAAAAAAAATCACAACTTGGTGTTTTCCTAAAATCCGTCCACTGCCACCCTTCCATCTTTGGTCCAAAGGAGACCTGCTGCACACCTCATCCTCTCATCGTTGGTAGATGGGACAAGGTAAAAGCATTTAGAGCCACAATTCATTTCACAGCCTCAGTACATCAAAGACAGCTTAATTAAAACACTTTCTGGGTAGAACAGGCCATATTGTCTTGCAAAGATGTCTGCAGCCACATCCCAGTGAGATCTGGGCTGTTTACAAACTCCCCCCCCCCCCCCGTTCTTATTTTCATCTTTTGACCCAAAATAGAAAAAGCTCTAGAAGAAAACTACAATTACATTTATTGTCATATATTGTCTTATTTAGTCACGTTTGTGGCCCTGCTGTGCAAAACGATACGACGTTCCATCCATGTTCCTGCCTGAGGGGGCAACTCTGTCACGCTGCAAGCGCAGGAGGATTGGACCCAAGACGCAGAACATCACAACTCGAGGCAGGAGAGGTCGTTTAAGTAAATAAAAAATCCTTTTATTAGGATGAGAACCAAAAAAAACAGACTATAGGACACGAGGTCAAAAATCTAAAGTTCTGTAGACAAAAACAAAAGCTCTCGCACGAGCCAGGATCTATAGTAACTAGAGGGGGACAAAAACAACGCTGACAAAAGACAATGGACCGACAAACACTGAGGGACAAGACAGGGTTTTTAAACACAGAGGGAGGTAATCAGAGGAACAGGTGACAGGTGTGAGGAGTGAGAACTGGAGGGGAGACGGGTGCCATCAATAACCTAAATGGGGGAGAGAACTAAGCAGGAGGGAAGATAAACATAAACCTATAAAACACTGAATAACTAAACCTAAAGACTAAGAGCAATTATAAACAACTAATAGTGGAGGAGGACTAATACAAAATCAAATAGGAACTACCAGGGAGTGACTAGGGGGGAACATGAGGGAAGCCCAGAGAGAGCTGGGGACCAGAGGGACGCAGAACAAGACAAACACGGATCCTGGTTTCCTCACAGCTGTTCGGACTGAACCTGAAACTAAAAATCAGACATAAAATCTGAGATCTGCTCATTAGAACAGACCATTATGATTTCACACAGGTATGTGTCCAAACATCCCCTCTGTTTTATGGCTCCAGCTGCTTCATCCTGGGAGTGTGCAGGAATATTTGATGTGTTGTATGAATTTCCTCCTGGTTCTCTATCTGCTGAACGTTTGTTTTCACATTTTCACGTATTTCTGCCAAAACTAAACTCTGAAGACTCAAAACAGTAGCTGAGTTTCTTTCTCTTAGATCCCGGAAATATTTGAATGCCGTTACTGTTTTCCTAAATTATCCCCCAAACATTCCCGGTTAATGATTAAATCTGAGCTGAAAGTGCAGACTCACCACTTTGGAATCATTGTTTTCACAAGGAAATATTTTTAATTTCATTTTTAACTTTGTGAAAAGCTTTGCTAAGACATTTATGTTTTATTTTGTTTTTAGGTCCAAAAACTCTGTTTCAGATTAACGCTCCATCTGATCAGAGCTTTCCATGATCTGAGGTAGTTCTTCGTGCATCAGAGCAGAAAATGAAATGAATGAAATGAAAAGCTTTATTTGTCCCAGGGAAGGGAAATTAGAGTTTCAGTACACACAATTCAAAGATCAGACATACTGGGCAAGACACATGACAAGAATTGGTGACTGTGGTCATTCGCAACCGAGTCGCGCTACCTTAATAGAGAGAGAAAAGGATAACATGAGGAATGGATTCTGGAGGAGGGAAAAAAAGGCACTTCACAGCTACTCTCCCCTCGGGAGGGCAGCTTTACTCTGCGAAAAAAACACCTCAACAGATAAGCAACAGATAACACAACACAACATCACAATATGAAGGCAGGGGGGGGGGGCTGGGATCCTGTTTCCCCCAGCGAGAGCAGCCATGTATGGCGCTCAGCCACTGTAGATCACAGGTGGGAGGGAGATCTTGGGAGGAACGCAGAGCACATTGACCCTGCAGGTTGATGACCTCGCTAGGCAGAAGTCCACAATCTGAAAGCGGGGGGGGGGGGGGGGGGTGTTCACAGCATCTGTCTGCATTCCTTCCTTCGTGGGGGTTGTTGTTGTTGGCATCTCGAAGGCTGCCTTGGCGTCAGATTTGGATAACAAGACTGTGTTTGGGTCAGGCAGAGATAATTTTCCTCTCTGCCTTCAGTCTGTAACTGATCATTCAAGTCCTTCAGTGAAGCCAATTAGGTTTTAAACATCTCCACACCGTCCGGTGACCCTCTCCGAGATGACATCCATTTTGCGCACTAACACCGGTAACACAGCTAGGACATTGTCCAGCTTACGATTCACCTCGAGTAACGTCCCATTCTGTGAGGTCTCCGCCCGGGCGGTGCTTTCCGTGGGTGCGGGTCACCCTCCAATTGCTCCCGTCTTCCCAAATTTCCAGAAAACCAAATATCCTCCCACTCCAATCAGAAGATATCCAGTAATCATCAGGCCAAATATCCACATATCTTCGACGTCCTCAATGGACAGCTGAGAGAGACATACGATCCTCCACACCTTCCAGGAATCGAGCATATATCCCGCTGCGTGTGTCCCTTGCGGGCAAGTGGGAGCCCCCTCCTCCGTTCTCTTCGTAGAAAAAATCTTATCAATCACGTTGAATGACCAATTAATTAAATCCATTTCTAAAAAATAGGGATTTCCAGAAGAAATGCAGAGAAGCTCTCTGTAGGCAGACAGGACAAAGAGCCTTGGGAAAAAAGATAAGGGAGCAAAGCAGAAGCGTCTGTACTCTGCGAGTGCCGGAAGAAAATGCCCACTTGTTTATGTTTTCTGTAAAATAATAAACACCTGTGAGCAACTAGATGAATGGGTGGTAAATGGCGTGTTTAGAGCCTCGTAAATGACGATGGGTTAAAACAAGAGCGTGTAATTACCATGATAGTTTCAATAAAATGTGCTGTGGTGGAGGGAGATGGTGCCGTGGTGGTTGGGTGGGCAGAATCACGATCCTGGTTCGTGGCACCAGAACACCTTCAGATTGGTTCTCCATCTGAGACCTGATGGGTCAACCTTCAGATTTCTGTGTTTTGCACCAGGCTAAAGACCAAAGATCATTTGCTGCTGTGGCCCCCAGACTCTGGAACTCTCTCCCCCTGAGCCTGAGATCAGTGGACTCAGTGGTCTCCTTTAAAAAGCAGCTGAAGACTCACCTGTTCAAGCTGGCTTTTGTATGACCTTCTCCACCTCTCTCTCTTTATTCTGCTCTCCCCACCCATTCCACCTTCCTCAGGATCCACTGATTCCCCTCTTTCCTATTCACTCTCTCGCTTTCTTAACATTTTTTTAATCACAATTGCCTATTTTTGCTCGTTTTAAATATATTTTTCAACATTTTCTAAATGCTTTTTTATATTTTTACATTTTTTGTTTTTGTGAAGCGCCTTGTGATTTTTATCTTGAGAGGTGCTATAGAAATGATATTTTCTTCTTCTTCTTCTTCTTCTAACCTTCTTGTTTGAGATGTTATTCATTTAGGTCTTGTCACTTTATTTTGAGACATGAGATTTTAAATCTATTACACAAATTACGGTATAATATCTGGTGAAAGTCTCAAGATGGCTCTTTGCTCATGAGGGCAGTGGGAGGGGTCACTTGACTATTCCAGATGCTCTTATCATGCAGTGTTGGAGATCACCTTCCCATTCATCCAAGACCTTAGTCTATGGTTTTCTCTGATGTTCTCACTACTCCGAGTCTTTTAGTCTTGAGTGGTGCAGTTACCAAACCACACCGTGATGCGGTAAGCCAGGACGCTCTCCACCGTGCGCCTGCTGAAGGTGATGAGAATCAGAGGAAGGAAGTTGACTTGTCTCAGCCTCCGCAGAAGGAGAGACATCGCTGTGCCTTTCTCACTTTGGTTGATTTTACTGATCCAGGTTAGGTCATCAGAGCTCTTTGTAGCCTGGTGGTGCTGACTGCCTCCACCTCTGACAGCGGTCTGATCCGAAGGTGTCCTCTTCAGCTCAACCACCTTCTCCTTGGTTTTCTCCACATTCAGGGACACCCCTTCCCTGTAAAGGCCCTGTTGTTGTAGCTGATGGTCATGTTGTGTTGTCTGATGTTGGGATCTGACTTTGCAGTGCAGTCGTGGGTGAGCAGCTTGACTTGCCATAGAAGTTAGGTGGGCGGAGCCAACTTAACATAGAACAAAACTAATATCTCCTGATTCCTTAAACAATTTTCTCTTTTTTGTTTTGTTTTTCAGATTTTTGTCGTCAACAGGAAGTGGCCGAAGCTGTGAGCTGTTTGCGGCTCAGCAGTGCCATGAAAACCTGAAGCCGCTGACCGGCGTGTGTCCAGCTGCAACCTGAAGACGTGTGTGTGTGTTGGTTCATACACACAATGCTGTGTTTGAAGCGCAGTGGAAAGCCAAGCAGCATGGTCGCATCATCCCTGTGTTTCCTGTGGGCCCTTTTAGGTGAGACACATGTTTGCTCTGACTTCAGTTTCAGTTAGAAAGTCTGAGTGTGATTAACTGAGAGCAGGATTGTGAAAGATGTGAGTTACACTAGTGGACGATGTGGGTGATAATGCAGCTTTGTGTGTGTTCAGTTTACCACCGGCTGATCTGGTTTGTTGTGGAGCAGAAAAAGTTCACGATGCTGCAGCACAAGTAGTCACAGTTTGCATCTGTTCTGCATTTTCTGCCTCTGTGTTTCCCATGAGAGGGTGAAGGAACATAAAAACATTCAACATGAACTTATTAATAAAATAATAATTTGTTTCATTCAAACTCCAGGACCTCGTGTACAAAGGGTATGCACGCTGGCATGTGTTCAGATCTATGAATAATGAAACGTTCTGAGCCACGCGCCAAATTCATGTTTGCTCTACGCGCGTTTCTGCAGCTGTGGGTCTGTTGGAGATGGTTAGTGGGCACTGCTAAACCTTTAATGTTGCAAAACCACGTCTTGTTCCAGAGATGAGTTGTAAAAAATGAATATGTCCATGTGTTGTTCCATAAAAGTCTATTAAAGCAGGAGCAAAGAGGAGCAGAACATCTCTTTAGCCTCATTAGAGGATATTCCAGACGAAGCCTTGTGAGGAGAGCCTGGATTAGAGGATTTTCTGAGACTACCTCATCGACAACATGATGTGGAGCCGTTAGCTCATTTGTTCAAGCTGGCTTTTGTATGACCTTCTTCACCACTCACATCCACACACTACCCATCCAACCACACTGGGGTTTCCAGCATCGGGAGCATTCCAGAGGAAGCCTTCGGGACTTGTCCGGTTGGTGTCATCTGGACTTCTAGGATGTCCAAGGAAGATCCTGCCTTTCTCTCCTCTGATTGGCCAGAAAGGCTCTACTACGATTGGCTATTTCATTTAGCAGCTGTCCTTGTTAAGTGTAGACTGTCCTCCTGCCACCAGCAGAAAGACGTTTTGAGGAGTTTTGTAAAGAAAATGTGAACTTAGCGCTATAAAAACCATTCTGTCCTGTTTTGTGAAACATTTTAGGTTTTACGTTTCATAAAAAACTAAAAAAAAAACTTATGTGAATTTATAATCTTGTTGCATTTGTCAAACTGTTGGACTTCCTTTATATCTGTTGGCTCTCGAGCATTAGAGCACATAGGATAAACATGTGTGCCTTACCTGGGTATGAACTGTAATAAAACTGACCTTTTCTGCCCAGCTGTGTGCAGCTGTCACGTTGAGAGCAGGAGATTAGGACCCAAAATGCAGAACACCCAGAACGACACGAGGCAGAAGCAGACGTAAAATAAAAATTCCTTTTATTAGGATGGAGAAGAAAAATAAAATCCAAACGGGTATGAAGCCATGGCAAATATCTAAATCCTTGACGAAACCAAAAAAATCTCACTTTCTGAGCAGATAACTAGAGACCAGGTGGGGAAACAAAACAACGCTGACACAGACAATAGACCAACAGGACCGGGTTTTTAAACACAGAGGGAAGCAGTCAGGGGAACAGGTGACAGGTGTGAGGGATGAGGTCTAGAGGGAAGACAGGTGTCATATATAAACTAAATTGGGAAAGAACAAGCAGAGGGAAGATAAACCACAACCTATAAAACACTAAATAACTAAACCTAGAAACTAAGGGCAAAGACAAACAATTAATGACTAGAGGGGTGAGGATGACTAAGAGTGACTAGGAGGAAACATGAGGGAAGACTAGAGGGAGCTGGGGAACACAAGGACGCATGAGGGGAACGCAGAGGAAGAACAGGAGGGGGCTGGGGACCAAGGGGACACAGAACATGACAGCATCAGGTCGGTTTCTTTTGTAGAATAATGAAAACAGGTAAATAAAATAAAAAAAGGTCTAAATCATGATCAGCTTTAACTTAATTTTTGATTAAATGATGCACATTTAATCTGATGATGAGAGACGAGCTCTAACGTGTAAACAGCCTTGACCTATTAAAGTGAAGACATAGGATAGCCTCATAATTAAGTAATAAGATAACCCCAATAGAGCCAACAGGTATAAAGTCAGTCTACAGTGTGAGTAAATGCAACAACTTCACATTTGATGTTTTTCTGGTTCTTTTATGAAAGAAACCGAAACGGGTTTGTTGTAAAACAAGAAAGGATGTTTATTATAGCGATGAGTTCACATTTTCTTTAAAAAACTCCTCAAGATCTGGCTGTAATCATAAAAACCTGCAGGTGAGAAAGGCCTTCCTTGGACATCCTGGGATTCCATATGATGTGTCCGGTTGACCCTGACCTTACCCAATCCCACTGTGTGAGATGGAATTATTTCAGCAAGGTGGATCAAAATCCAGCCAAAGCCGGGTTTCCTGATGTGATTGTGGTTGTGCGTTAGAGGGACGGATGAAGAATCAGCAGTGGACCGCTGTGGTGAAGCAACGTGGCTTCTGGGTAGGAGGCAGCAGAGCATTTTAGAATAAAAGGTTAAAACAACTCTTTTTTTTTTTTTAAAAGTTAGTTATCGCCACAAAAATGTCAACCAGGTATGGAAGCAGATCCTCTACGCTGCTGTTTTAATGAGAAGATGAGAAACAGCTGTGAGTGTAAGTAAATTTTATTTATGTAGCACTTATCGCAGACGTAGAATCACAAAAAGCTAAAACGTAGATCAAAACAAAATAAAACTGTCATAAAATCATAATGAAATAGATCAACATAAGAAAAATAAAGTCATAAAATTATAAAATATCATAAAACAAATGAAAGACGATCACAAATTTGAGTTGAAAATAAGAAAATAAAAGATTTATGTGAAAGCAGCTTTAAATAAAAGGGTCTTTAGATGTTTTTTAAAAGTGTCCAGTCTGTCGATGCTGCGTAAGGATAAAGGAAGATCATTCCAGAGTCGGGGTGCAACAGTCTGGAAGGAGCGATCACCTCGACTTTTATATCTGGTCTTTGGAACGTTCTGGTGGGTGGACCTGAGGGCTCAGGTTGGAGCATGAGGCTTTAACAGTTCAGTAACATAGGGAGGAGCTTGACCATGTAGAGCCTCGCTGCAGATTTCTGGACCAACTGAAGGCGGTCAAGGGCTTTTTTTTTTTTGATAAAACATGTGAAGAGTGTGTTACAGTAATCTAGTCGGGAGGAAATAAAGGCACGGAGAACCATTTCAGGTTCATGTTTTGACACCAACCTTTGCAGTTTGGAGATATTTCTTAAGTGACAAAAACCAACTTTTTGAGTGGCCTCCAAGAGACATTGATTGGTCAAAAACACCCAAATTCCTTAAGTTTGTCTTGACGACAGAAGATAAATGACCAAGTTTTAAACTAATCAGGGGAACTGTGCTCTCAGGGGCAATGATCAGACATTCAGTCTTTTCAGAGTTTAACTGAAGGAAGTTTTCTTCTAGCCAGCTGGTGATAGCTGATGGACACTTGCAATTCAGACAGTTTATAAAACAGAATCCTTAAAGGAGCAGTACAGCTGAATGTCATCTGCATGTAGGTAATAAGAGGCATTATGACATGGATCAATTATCTGTCAAAGAGGGTGTATATACAGTAGAAACAACAGGGGACCCAAAACAGAGCCTTGGGGTACCCCACAGAACAGATCGGTGAGGCGGGGAGAGGAAGCCCCGCTCTCACAGGTGACACAAACCAGCCAAAGAAGGTGACAGGTAACAAACTTCACCACAACACAGGAAGTGTTCAGCCCTCTGGGTTCGGTGGTTTTCAGTGTTTACAGTGATTGTGTCAGTCATGTGTACTGTCTCAGCCTTCTTCTGCTCATCTGCATTCACGTGTGTGTGTGTGTGTGTGTGTGTGTGTGTGTGTGTGTGTGTGTGTGTGTGTGTGTGTGTGTGTGTGTGTGTGTGTGTGTGTGTGTGTGTGTGTGTGCGCGCGCGTCCATCCAACAGCGCTGCGCTGACGATGCACGCACAGAAGTTTTCCAGTTTCTCTTTATTCCTGCAGAAAAGGATCATAACTGCAGCATCTGTTTACAGCTGTTAGCATATTTAAATGTGGGCGTGTCAAGGGGGAGGAGTCTGGTTTTTCCTTGCATGTGAACAGGATGAACAAATTAAACGTGCTGGGATCTGGGGGTTTGGTTCCTCGCTTTCTGAACACGCCGTTTTCTTGATTTCAAGAGTTCACCATCAGTCTGGTGAAAACTCACACAAGCCTTCATACATAAAGCTCCATAGTTACAGCAAATGGAGGGAAAACATGTAAGTAACATGAAGCCAAGCAGAAACACATGTTTGGTGAAAAGCTCCTGGAGTTTGTAGCTTGGTCCGTTTGAGCCTTCTGAAGGACTTTACCATGCAGGTGGCCACCAACTGCTGTGCAGAGGAAGCCAAGAATCAGAAAAATGGCAGAGGTCTGGGTGGACTCGAGATTGAATGAATGTTTGGAAATTGTGAGGAGAATCATAAATTTACCAGAGAGAAAGAGCTGTCTGAAGACTGTTTCTGGTAGAACTCGGCGTTCCGGACCTGTGGAGGTTTATGGATGGATTTACAACCAGAGAGAAGAGTGTTTAGATGGATGAGATTCCTCATGAGGATCATCAGCTCCAACAAACCTGCCATTACTTTCAGTTCCCATTTCTTCTGGACAATAGATAATTCTGTCATAATTCTAGTTGATCGCTTGTTTTCCATGGGTAACGGCGTGTTTGACTTTCTAATCGAGCCTCTTTCTTTAGCCATCTCCCTGCTTCTAAAGTTCAGGTTTTGCCTCCCGTGTCACCGACCTGATTAACCTTTGCTTCTAATGTCCTCCGTGGGTGTTTCAGGCTCCTCCAGCCGTGAAACAGGATTCCTGATTTCCCACAGGCTTGGATTCTCCTCACATCTCCTGCTTTTTTTTTTTTAATGATTGACGATCGGTCCTCCAGCTGCTGCTGGTTTCCATTTAGCAACAGAAACGCATAGAATCAGATGTTCTGTTTAATGACCTTTAATGGACATCTATAGAAGGACATGGAGACGCCAGAAGCTGC